GTTGGTAAAAGAATTTGGAAATGATCATGCACATGCTTTATCCTGTGGAGGGTGACTGATGTGGGTCGCCAGGACTCGTGGGCTTGAAAAGGCAGGGTTTTCACACTCTCGAGCGGGTATATAAGTCCTGAGCTGCAGTCCACTATTTTGCCCATCCCCATCTTGTCTTTCTTTCTTGCGCTCCAGCAATCTCCTTCAAACCAAACCACAGCTTTTTTCCTGTTTTACGCGCAATATGTCCATCGCTGCATCCGACGTTGAGGAGATGTCCGGCACTGGGGAGGGGGCATATTATTTTGCGTGTCAGGCGCCGAGGGATTGGTATGTTCCCGCCGCCACGCTCGACTTTTTCGCGGACTCGATCTTGGGGAGGAAGGGGGGTGATGCCCTCACGTTGTTGTTCCAGGGAGAGTCTAGGATGAAGGAGATGGCGTTGGTGGGGCTCGTGCAACGAGCGTTTACGGACGGTGCGCTTCCCAAGGCTTATGACTTGGTGGCTGCGAAGGGGGGCCCGTCTGTGTTGGGTTGGCAAAGGGGAACGAAGGAGATGCTGGAGAGCCCGGCAGGTGGCTTCCGCAACATAGAGGCGGAATTTGCGCTGGTAAGCTTCTGATTCCAGGAGTGGTTCAGCGACTTAACGAGCTAATGATTGTTAGTTCGGGAAGGCCACTACGTTCTGGCCGCCGCCGTTGAGCACTGGCGCGCGGTCTAGTGACGTGATGCCGATTACGATTCCGAAGGGGGGCGTCTTTGGCGAGTACCAGTGTAAGAGTCTGCAGAAGGCGACGAGTGTGACGGCGGTGCTTGCCACCAGAGTCGTATGTCGCTTGTTTCCTTTTGTTCTTCACATTGAGGGCTCGCTAATTCCGCACATTAGATTGACCACGACGATCAATGGCTCCTGCAATGGCAATTCCACGAAAACCAGCGGGAGAACATTTTGAAGACGGTTTTGGCCCAGGGCTACGTCGGCGCGAAGTGGCAGAAACGCTGCTCGTTCTGCTGGCGTGGCGCCCACGATCACACCCAGTGTTCGTTCGTATCGACGCAGAATAAGATACGCGAGGGGCTGAAGTTGAAGCCGCTTCAGGTTGTCGATGGGAAGGTCGTGCGGGAGGATAGTCGTCTCCCGGTGGACGTGGAGAAGTTCGCGGATGAGGTGGAGAAGAGGCTGACGTTGGTTGAGCGCGACATCAAGGAGCTCAAGGAGAAGAAGGGCGGTTCTGGGGGCACCTCGACGAAGAGGAAGCGGGAGTCCGACCCTGCGGAGGCCCCGGAGTTGTCGAAGAGGCAGAAGAAGCGTCAGCGGGAGAAGGCTAGGACTGCGGAGTTGAAGGCGGCGAAGAAGGGGGGTAAAGGCGCGGCGACGGACGGGGGGAAGAAGAAGGATAAGGGGGGGCCTAAGGGCGGAAAGGGTGGCAAGGGCGGCTCTGCCGCGACGGCTACCGCTTCGTCTTAATGTCTCCCTTTCTTCTTTCTTTGTAGTATTTGTTTTTCTGCGCTGCATGTCTGTCGGCTTTTACCCCCGATTAACTCGTCAAAATGACGAGTTGTATTAAATAACTTTGCTCTTCGTCGTTCCCGGTCTGGCGTGATCATAATGAAAATTCGCCCGGTGGTTAAATTTAACTTTTGGAAATGACGGAACGCGTTTACCCAGCCTTTTGACGGTTGAGGGGACAAACGAGGGTGACTATGGGTTGCACTTCGGGGCCAGGAGAGCCCGTCTTTGATATACTGTCCCTGGCTGGGGTTTGGGTCTGCGGCGCCAGTTGAATGTTGAAGTCCTGGTGATGTGCCGTTCTGTCGCGTCAATTGGGAGTTTAATGGGATGCGTTGGCGCTAGGGCTCTAAACACTCTGATCGCACATGGCAAGAACCAGAAACACAGACGCCCAGTTGCGCGAGCGACTGGGGACAGGAGGTTCGGGTTTGTCTGGTGGTCCATCCGTTATTCCTCCTGATCCGTTCGTAGATTCTACGTACGGTCTTGACCACCCCGTGAGGCCGGTTGCCTCGCATCTCAGGAAAAATGAAGGGCAGCGTCTTATCATCTTTAATACAAAGAACCTGTCTGTAACCGATGTTTGGGCAGAACTGCGGGCATGTCTAGGTGATGACATGTTCCGGTCCATTATACGGCTTGAGAGAATTACGCACCTCAATAGAAACCCGCGTACTGATATGTGGGTTACGAAAGAGGCGGCAGCGAGTTTGATGCGGGCAATACGCTCCATGACTCGCGAACGTACTCCACTTTTCTGCGAGGTTGTTAGAGACCAAATTCGCGACGGTGCTCACAGGACTAGGGCCTTGGGCAGTTGGCGTTTGGCCATATGGCAGCCATGGAAGGATCGCGTTGGTCCTTCTGTTACCGTAGATAGTGGTAAGGCCAGGAAAGAAACTTCAGCGGTGCTCACCCTTAATGTCAATGGGTTTGTTCATAAGAAATGGGAGCTAGCTGAGATCCTGAGGAAGGAGAATGTGGCAATCGCTTGTCTGCAGGAAACTGTCGTCGGTGATAAGCAGTACCCCGTACGACTTTCGGGGTACAACACGTTTGACGTCCCCTGGCAAGAGGGATTCCGTGGGCAGGCTGTCCTCGTTGACTCGAGGTTGCCGGCCTACGAGGTCCCCCATGGTGAGCAATTTGTGATCCATGTCAAGGTTTCGAGATTTCACGGGTTTAAACGACCTTTGCACGTCTTAGGCGTGTATCTGCCATCTGGAGGGAACTTCAGGCGAGAGAGAACCTCTCGGTTTAACAAGCTGGTAGGGATTTGTCGAGATATTTTGAGAAGTGAACCTGGTGCGGTCATCGTGGCGCTTGGCGATTTTAATATGCCTGTGCCTAGGATTCGTAGTTTGAGTCCTGCCGACGCTGAAGTGCTTGCACGCTTGACCCCGGTCGGGTCTGCGCTTAGCCGCTTCCCTCGGAGAGGGAAGCCCGGTGCCATTGACCATGTCATGGTATCTGGAGCAGCTAAACAAGCCTTCCGTCGTCCGAGAGTGCTGCGCCAGTATTGTTTGAGCGATCATCGTCCGGTAGTGGTCCATCCGTTGACAGTCAACGGTGCTTGGCAGGAACCACAGAAGACCTTTAGGTTTGACAGCCGACGTTTACGCTTATGCAGTGAGAAGATTGCCTCCGATAACAGGTGGCGGGTTTTGGTGAATTCGGTTGACGCGAACACCCCCACGAGAGTGGAGGATTGTACGCGCATTTTTACCGATACCTTCGACAAAGTGACGCGAGCACATGGAGTCAAGGTACCCAATATCCCGCAAGGAGAGCATCTACCTCGAAAATTGCGACGATTGCTTACGAGAATTCACTCGGTGAAGCGGAAGGTGGATAAACTGGTTCTGAAGGGAAAGCCAGCCCCACCGCCTCTGGTGAAGGACATCACGCAACTCAAGCGCATCTTTAATAAGAAGCGGTCTGAGTGGGAGCGTGGAAGTCGGCAGAAGTTGTATAGCCGAATAGCTGAGGACTTTGTGAGTAACGATCACAAGAATGTATGGTCCCGGCTGAGGGCGCAAACCTCGAAAGTGAGCGGCGGACCGTCTTTGCATCCTGTGAAGGACGAAGCGGGACAGCTTGTGTACGAGGTGGGTGGTATTCTTGAGGCTATGAGGGGTTACTATGAAACCCTTTTTACCTACGACCCGGATGGGTTGGCGAATAACCAGGCGTATTGGCAAAATTTGGATTTGCCTCAACTTCCTGATATTCCTCGGATTAACGACCCGATTGAATGGAGGGAGGTTTTGATGGCCCTTCGCTCTGCGAATAGGAACACAGCGCCCGGTCGAGACGGGGTGCATATCAATGTGTTGAAGTCCTTGGTGTTGGAGGAATGTATGGCGTGGGTCAAGGAGCAGAACCCGAACTTCCGTCGTCCAGATAATGTACGATTGGATCTGCCCAAAGACCAGTTGCCAGATGAGCCGAAAACGCTTTTTGGGAAGGCCCTGAATAAAATTCTGCTAGGAGTGTGGGAGAAGGTGTATACACCTTCCGACTGGAACTTTATTTGGATCATTAATCTGTTCAAGTCCGGTGACCCTGAACTCTTGTCGAACTATCGTGGGATTAGTTTGATCAGTTGCGCCTTTAAGGTGCTCCTGCTCATTCTAACCCATCGTCTTACAGTGGCGTTAGAGGAAGCAGACCTTCTTCGCCCGGAACAAGCGGCGTTCCGTCGACGTGAAGAGACCATTGGTCAATTCATAGCAATGTCTGAAATTGTGCGACGTAGGCATATGGAAGGGGAGTCGACGATATGTATTTTTGTTGACTTCAAGAAAGCCTATGACAGGGTTCATCATGAATACCTGTTCCGAGTCCTAGAGGCGAAGGGCTTTAGGGGAAAATTTATTGATTTCCTTAGAGCTATGTATTCGTCCATGAGGTACTCTGTTCGTGCGGCCGGGAATCACTCGTCGTCCTTCGTTCCGCGAAGGGGTCAACGGCAAGGAGACCCGATGTCTTGTCCCCAGTTTGACGTAGTGATGGATGACTGCTTGGAACGCTCATCGGCGGGTGGGGTTGAAGTCCCTGGCTTCGAACCACGCCCTTTGGGCCCCTTGGAGGCACTCCTAAATATTGATCAAGATAATGATCGTACCAGGACATGTCCTGGCTCTATGTTCGCCGACGATGTCTTGATGCTAGAGGTGGGTTCCGACCTGACGAAGGCTGATGAGGCGCTGTTAGGCGTTTACAACTGGGGTAAGAGGGTTGGAATGGATATGGGACTCTCTAAATGTGGTGTGATGATGTTAACCGACGATGCCGAAATCCGGTCGCGGTTTGATGCTCACACCTTCTCTGTCCCTGACGGAGAAGTACCTAAGGTACACGAATACAAGTTCTTGGGGATTTTGACCGATGACCATTGGCATCGTTCCCGAGAGAATGTAGAGGGTAATGTGAGCATGGAGCTAAAGTACTCCAAGGGGCAAGCTGCTAAGGGAATGAAGTGTTTGCATTCAAT